TTTTTTTTTTGACAACAACTGCAATTCAGACGCGCACCTTAACCCTGCAGTCATCTCCTTTAGTGACTCAAACCTTTTTACACTATTATAGATGGCATATGGATCCACCGGAAGTTGAAAACGCATGATGAACAAAATACTTCACAACAGTTTCATGTTCTATTGTAAATAATCGATGTACGGGTGAAGTTGGGAGGGCAAGAAAGAAGTTTAAGGAAATGCCGGAAATTTCCGGTTATAAGACCCCCTCCGATGGTTTACATGCATGTTGTGCGTTTGTATTTCATAATGAAAAAAAACTCGATTTCTCAGAAGATCTTTCGCAGCTACCCTGCGAGCAGAGTCGTTTCGGATCTTATTCGTAACCTATTCGCATTCGATCTAACGGCGCTGAGTCGCGTAAAGCAGACTACGCTTTTGTCTTCAGGCGAGAAAAAAAACTTGTAGGGCAAGGCGACGAGAAGTTTACAAGGTAGAGTGGCTCAAATATCGAGAATGAGGAGATCCATCGGAGCAATGCAGCTCATGTAGTGGAGGTTTGCCAGTTCTTGTATCTTATACAGTATGTGTCTTAGCGGTGAACCAATAAACCAGACGAGACATATGTTTAGTACATCATGTTATGAAGACTCGAAGACTGGAACAATTTGATAAAAACTTAACTAGTGAGCAGCACTCTGCGAACTGTAGTTGTATAACTTCTTTATTTCTCCTACGCGTTTCGTGTGACTAACGCACACGCCGTCAGGGAATTTAACAATACAACACGAAGCGCCTGTATATATACCTAACTCGTACAAGAGTTTACATTTCGTAGGAACACACCTACGGATATACAGATAGGAATGACAAACTCCGCGGTAATGCGTCTAGAAAACAGGCGGTAAATTTCGGCAAGGTGTGACATATTTTGTGCGTGAGATAATTTTGGGGCCCACAGTTTTAGATTTTTTTTTTTTTTTGGAATTTCTAGCTTAGCGACCGGGCCATCGTGACAAAGTCGCCTCCAACCGCCCTGTGCCTCTCCACGGTTGGAAGCGACTTTGTCAAGAAATTCAAATCGTGTGGCCAAGATAATCGGTTACGGATCGAGACGGAGCAAAAAATTGAAAGCAAGAGCTGGAAAACCAGCTATTCTCGGGTGGTTAAGACAAACTTTGGAACCTTGGGAGAAAGCGAATGGGAAGAAGAGTTATCGACGGCTGCCATGAGGCAATTTTGACGAGATTAGACCATTTTTGTGGAATTTACGGGGCTTTGAGTGCGGGCCGTCTGGCGAGTGGGTCGCCCGCCTAAGTTTCGTTTCTCTTTAGCGGAAGCAAACCGCCAGAAAGTAAAACTCGCCTAAATGGCTCTAAACCACCTCCATGAACCAAGAGACATCAAAATAACGCAATGCAAACATAAGGTAAGCCATTTTATTCCAATTATGTCCTACACGTAGCATTTAGAGTAATTTCTAAACTAAATCGTGATGACCTTGGTTCTCAGTGTAATCGACAGGGGAAAAAAAAATTGAACGCTCGGTTTCGAGCTTGCTGGCCGAAATATGGCCCCACTTAATTTCAACGCTGAAAAAGTAGCCCAGACCGGCTTACGCGCACCTCGATTTGGACAAACTTAGGCTTGATTTCCAAGAACTTGGACGATATTTCCCAGTCCCAGGAAACTCTAAACTAAATCGTGACGACCTTGGTTTTCAGTGAAATCGCCAGGGGAACAATAACGGCTCGGTTTGGAGCTTACTGACCGAAATATAGCCCCACTTATATAAGAGTCTGTTTTTTACTTATTATCCAGTTTATTTAAGGGATATGTTAACTGTACGTACCTCATCCTATAATCTGCGTGGCAATTATATTCTGGACCTTCCTAAAGCAAAAACAACTACTTATGGTCTGCACTCTTTTTCATACTTAGCTAGTAAAATATGGAACTCTCTTCCGGACACTTACAGGACATCTGATTTTCTTCAATTCAAGCAAAAGATCGTTAAATATGAGGCTTTTCCACAGTGTAAATATATATAGTGTATAAATGATAATAGAATTGTAATTGTATTTCATTTTATTTTATTTTATCTATTTACTTTTTCTTNGGGAAGAAGAGTTATCGACGGCTGCCATGAGGCAATTTTGACGAGATTAGACCATTTTTGTGGAATTTACGGAGCTTTGAGTGCGGGCCGTCGGGCCAGCCCAGTGGGTCGCCCGCCTTTCGTTTCTCTTTAGGGGAAGCAAACCGCCAGAAAGTAAAACTCGCCTAAATGGCTCTAAACCACCTCCTGGAATCCAGAGACATCAAAATAACGCAATGTAAACACAAGGTAAGCAATTTTATTCAAATTATTTTCTACACGTAGCATTCAGAGTAATTTTCCAAGCTTTCTCATACAATGTCTTATAAACGGCCAAAATTGTAACGCAATCGCCAACAGCATAATGTCACGTATTAATCGTATTGAACGTTTGGGCCGCCTGTGGTTGCTCGTCGAGTCTCGCCAGGCGCAATAATAGTTGTGTTATGTTGAAAAAAATAGCCTATTCCTTGCCAAATTAAACCCGGAATTCTCAAGTTAACTATTAGATGAGGCCAGAGCAACTTTAGCATTGTCTTTATTTTTGTAAGCTGGGAAGAAAGTAACTATTATCATGTCGTTTCGGTAGGACAGCTCAGTTTTGACTGCCGCTCGTACTGCGGGCGCAGCCGTCATATGCAAGGCACAACCAAGAGATTATTTTATAACAAAGTTATTTTGATCAGGTATTTTATAGGGAAGCGGAAATTATAAGTTCGATCTGTAAAACCAGCAGGTAGCCTGGTTATCCACTGAACGTAACTTAGGGCCTGATTACATGGCGAATTTCAGCCCGGGCTAAAATTTCAGCCTGGTTAGCCGGGCTGAAATCTCAGCCCGGCTTCTGAAACAAATTCTCATGGAATCAAATTGGCGATTACATGGAGAAGGATTCAGCCCGGGCAAACGGGCTGAAAAGTCTGAAAAAATCGCATGTAATCGAAACGGAATTTCAGCCCGGGCTGAAAAGCAGGAAATAAGATGTCTGCCGCTACGAAGTGGAAGCGATCTCAGTGGAATAAAGGCGATAAAATAGAGAACCTCTCTCATTTCAAAGCTTAGGTGGAATATAAGAACATCGAGACAAGGTTAAACAGCACGAGGGTGTCAGGGAGGCTACGAACTCGGCAAGCTTGAGGACATATTTTCTTTCTATGCAAGTACGTCTTTCTGGCTAAGAGACAGGTTTCNGAGGCTAATATTTCAGCCCGGGCTGAAATTCGTTATGTAATCGCAACAAAATTTCAGCCCCGCTAGCCGGGCTGAAATTTCAGCCCGGGCTGCAATTCGCCATGCAATCAGGCCCTTAAAAACATTTCTGAATAAGTTTGCGCTTGTGACAAACACATTTTTAATTGCTTTAAACTTTTTTTAAAAAGGATTAAAATTACGTGCTTATACCTACACTACTTGGATAAATACTGAGAAACTTGAGGGGATTAAGCTGTCAACGATCGATTGGTGTAAATTAAACAAAATCTTAGTTTAACGTTCAGCTTTTTTTCCTGTGCCTCGTTACATATTCATCCCCTCATTATTTTCTTCTTCGATTTCCAATGGACACCGTTATTACACTACGCAGTACCTAAGTTTCTGCATTACGTTCGGCATTATGACAGACAGTAAACCGGTGAGAAAGTGGAGGAGAATTTTCCGTACCACCTTGATTTTCAACTTATCTCGAAACCCGTCAAGCTTTTGTTTTGACAATCTGATAATAACAATAATCTTCTTCCATGCATGACGTAATATACAGATTTAGCCAAGCCTAATAGCGGAGCTCCTGATTGCAATAACTAACCACAAAGGAAAATTAACAAATTGAGGTCAGTTTCTATGCGTCTGTCCTCTTATTGATGATAAATTGCGTCATAACATTGTCAAAGTGGATCTGGAACCACAACCCGCAGGCGAGAGGTTCCGAGGTAAACTTGGACAATGATATGACGTAATTTATCATCAATTTGAGGAATACGCATAAAAACTTGACCTAAATTTGTTTATTTACAATAACAAGACCCCAATGTGGTCAAACGCGGGAATAAATGAGCTAAAAGAGGCCGTCAACTTGCCGTAAAAAAGATAAGTGAATTTTACTTAAAATGACGCCAACATTGTCAATAGCTTTAATTTTATCGCTTTTTGATTGGCTACTTAAAAAGGTCAATAAAATCCCACTGGCTAAAAAGTTGACAGTTCCACAACTGAAAGTTGAACTGTTGAAAGCTTGCATAAATAAAAATTTTATCCGTCTGCACTCTTATTGATGATAAAAATGAGCCAATCAGCGCGCGAGAAATAATACAGTTATTGTAAAAAGAAGACTTGTTTTTCTTGGATCACACTCAAAAAATGATAAGTTGTGAGCGTGTAATTGTTCAGCGTGTGGTTTTGCTATTTTTTTCCAATTAAATTTAACAAACTTACCCAATAAGAGTAACCAACATAATGTGAAGTATATATGAAATAATTCATATATGAACTGCGGTTGTAGATGAAAGTGAAGAATGATCAT